CCCCTTTTTTTTTAATGTTTTGATTTACTTATGACTAAACGTTCATAAAAAATATGTACTGTTAGTTTTATATGAAATAATATGAAGGAAGGATTTTATAATGAATTAATCTGTGCGTATGAGTGTAAGTTAGGCGGTGTTCATTTTCACTTGACATGGAGGTTTCGCATTAATCATTTCTTCTAGAATCTCTTCACCAAAACCCATGTCTTCTATAAGCACCTCCGTTACAGCAACTCCTTGATCTGCCGCCCTAAGACTAATACACCTAGTCTGACTGTCGCGATATAAAATATATATATATATATATAATGACCATCCAAAAAAATTTCTCTTATTTTTGAGTCCGGCGATGAGTATCTAATATATAGAACTACATTTTACAATGCAAGTTCTCCTGAATCACTCAGATAACATCCAAAATGTTTATCTTCCGCTTCTTTGAAGTTTATTGGAAACACATTATTTATATTTTTTTCTATCTAAAGGCAATGCTCTAAATATTAATACAGTAGTATACAAAAACCCGTTTTCGCTTGTGGTACATTTCCAAATCTAGAATATTATTTTTAACATACTCATTCCAAATTTCAATCTCAAGACTACATACTACAAGGCCTATTGTCAACACGAACATATTAATAATACGGTAATCATTGCCATGTCACTATATGCTTATTCTCCGCTACGTCTATATTTTATATCAGTGGCGAAAGCTCCTTCGTTACTTAATCCACGTACCTCTTCATGAGCTCCTTTCTTATGGCCATTCTCAATACACAAAAGGACTGATTTACAACTACCACATGTTAGGACTTACAACCTCTTATTTTTTTCATTTTTGCATCATTTATCAGATTACCGTTTCTGTATTCTAAAGTTCCAAGCATAAACCATAGGGTTGCCCACGATGTGAAACTGAGCTTTAAATGAAGAAAACTCATAAATTAACTCCGACTGAACTCGTAAAGAAAAGTTCAAATAATCTATGGAGGTCTGTATTATAGGTAAATCAACGCAGTTATATAAAGAAACGTATTGCTGCACAAGAGATGCTAGAATTATTCACCGGAAAAACTGTTTACACTAATCTAGACTTCAAAAATTAATTCTTCCTGTACCTCGCAGAAAGAAGCCGAATGTGCACTGGTTTTCCCTCATTCCTATGACGTATTCAACTCAACAGTCACGGC